TATATATATATATATATATCATAAAAACATAACTTAGAGGACCTTGTTGTCAGTGCCCTTTTTTCGTGCCCAGTTATTAGGCCTACAGGACAACAGATAAAATTTGTTGATACAACTTATTTTCTAGGTTTCAGAGTAAAGTTAGGAAGTAAGAAAATTGTAATATATACTGTTTTATTCTTGGTTAATTTCATCATGTCGACAGCGCCAAATTTAAACGCACTTTATATTATAATAAATCTAATGTGAATACTTATTGTCCAGTTTTATGGGTAAGATAATATTTACGTTAGTTTTTTTTTGAATCACCTCATTAATATTCTGCTTAAATATATATATAAATAAAAGTTAAAACATTACTTCTGAATTTTAATAAATCCTTTCCCTCTCGGCATATTTTCTTTGTAATGGTTGTTTTTTCTTTTTTATCTTACATGTTTTAAACCTCGTTTGAGGTAAAAACAGAAGGTTAAGAATCAGTTAACCTAGTCACATGTTAGAAATTGCAGTATCATTACTATTGAAATTTATGAGCATTTAACAACACTATCAGACTTCAAGAATGGTTTGCTAGAAATTGCAGTACCAATTTTATTAAAAATTCTAAACATTTAACAACACTATCAGACTTCAAGAATGGTTTGCTAGAAATTGCAGTACCAATTTTATTAAAAATTCTAAACATTTAACGACACTATCAGACTTCAAAAATGGTTTGCTAGAAATTGCAGTACCAATTTTATTAAAAATTCTAAACATTTAACGACACTATCAGACTTCAAGAATGGTTTGCTAGAAATTGCAGTACCAATTTTATTAAAAATTCTAAACATTTAACAACACTATCAGACTTCAAGAATGGTTTGTTATACTAATCCTTTAAACATTTCTGAACATTTAACAAATGTACCAGTCTAATGCTTGTGTTTTCAATCTTATATAAATTATGGTCGAAATATTTACCTTCTTAGTTCTCAAAAATCAGCATATAAGTGCATACACACACATATAATTAGCACGTATATTAAAAAGCCCAACAGTGTATTAACTCTAAGTTCTGATGAGGAAAGAAGAGAATACAATGTAATATAATAAATATAACATCATTTCTATCCCTTCTTTGGTTTTCAATCCCAATCGTATAACGAAGCCAAAATAGGGTCGCACATATAGAAGTGTTGAATAAAACCAGGTCACAAAGCAAATATGTTTATGTTATATGTGTGTGTGTGTGTATGTACATAGAATTATTTATGATTACAATGTTGTAGAAAATTCATATATCAATACTATTTGAGAGACGTAAAAGGAAGATCACAGGCTATATAGAGAAAGGATTTAAATGTCATCTCATTCCACAAACCTGAGTGCCAATTAATCCTCAAATTTAAAGAGTTGCCTGATCATTAATAGAGTTCCACTTGTTGACGTAGTTCTTCTGTTATCCATAGAAGATAACCTCCGACCGACATGAAGCCCCAGTTTTTTATTTTCACACTGTTAATGCTCTGCCTTGTTGGCATGGCAACAGCAGCTCCAACTGTTCAGGATCAGGAAGAAAAGGCAGAGAACAACAATGACCTCGAACCAAAAGGTAGGTTTTAGTGTTTTGATAACACATCAATTGATTTCTGTTTTAATAACAAAGGCCTGTATGTGCTCTAAGTTTATTTTCACGAATAGATAGGTATATTATCTCTCATTAAGTTCGGAAGGATTTCCAGCAGTATTCCTTAAAACTGAAACTGCTCACATGTGATCAACTGAGGAAATAAAAATCATTGGAAGCAAAATATAAAAATAAACTTTGCTTGAAATTTTTATACATATATCTAATAGGAATATTGAAATAACGATACAAAATGATCCATATCAAATTCCCTGATTAGTTCTGAAGATAATACTCGTTTAGATGAATTCAACAAAACGTCCAAAATATGATCTATAAAGCAAAGAAAATTTTCTTTAAAATCTGGAGTTATTTTCTCTATAATATTGGAAATGATATCGTAATTTGTTTTTGCAAAATTTAATAGATTATTATACAGTACATAATACATAAATAAATAAAAATACCTTTTAATGCTAACTGTCTACCTTTTTCGATGATTCAATAAAATTAAAAATTGCTAACTTTCAAATTGAAAACGTATGCTTCCTGTATTCCAGAAAAACGTTCAGAAGAGAAACTCGTGTATGGGAACCAACAAAACAAACCTCCAGCAACAACAGACAATTTTCCAAAAATTCAAAACACAGAAGATTCGGAATCACCTGATGGTGAAAACGGTTCATCCTCACGTACAGAAGGAAAAACGGACAAATATCCGGGTTAGATCAGAATTTTGTTTTGTCTAATAAATTCAGTATGTTGAAGAAAACATTTAGAACCATTCTGTGGAAAAAGAGCAACTTTTATGTCATTGAATTATATCTTTATGGCATACTTGCAAACATGACATGAAATTGGTTAAAGAATATCATTAGTTAAAATTACAATACCTTTTTATGTCTCTGCCAAATGGAATCGATGAATTAAGGTGAATAATCTACCCAGATGTTGTGGGCCAGGCATGGACTAGAGGTTAGCAAGTCGGGCTTCGGATCGTAGGGTCATGAGTTACAGAGCAATGCCACTGAACATGCTTCAAACTTTCAGATATGGGTGTTTTATAAAAGAGCTATCAATCCCATTATTCGATTCAAAGCCAGGCAAAGGTCTTGTGGCGGCAGGTTTTGTTGGCTGGCTGCAAATCCTCTGACCAGTACTTTAAAACTAAGGACTGCTATACTTGAAGCTTAGGGGTCTCTAATCTGGCCGTTTAGCCCATGTGCACATAAAGTCTCTTTCAGGATGCAAATTCCAATTCCAGTTTCCCAAATATAACTCAAGGGAAGAATTCGTGATTTGTACAGCCAAGTTCATGATAGGTAATACCTCTTCTTCGTACAACATGAATAAAAATGTTTGGATACGGCTGATAACCGTACAAATGATGCACTGAGCTTAATGCCGTGCATGCGTGGATCAGATTCGGAGTTCTACATTTATCAACTAAGTTATTACTCTTAAAAGGCATAAATACTCAATTGCATCTTTTACTTTGAAACAAGAAACATATTGCACTCACTAAAGTCAATTAAGCATGTTTTTTCTAGAATTTATGTTCATCAGTGGGTCAATGGTAAGTTTATGGATTTGGAACGCTAATATCCGGCGTTTGATTCCCATGGAAGAAAGAACCCATATAGGGTATTGTGGAGCTTAACGCTGAAATAGAAAAACTCACAAACAATAAAATATATGTTGTTGTTTTTATCGCAAAATTAATTTCATTGTAAACAATGCAGGACAGCGATTTTATTTTGGATGGATTAAATATTCCTTCCATCATGGTTGAATGCAATATATCAAAATCAACAAATATTAAAACAAAAAACGAGTGAAAAGAAAAATATTTTTACTCTTTTGGACTATCGGAATTTGGAAATAGTACATGAATTAATCTTAGTGTTAATACTGAAAATAGCACATATACTCAGACTATTATGCAAATTATGTGCTTAATAACAAACAAACAGTTTTGTTTTTTGCATTGATTTTTACATTCATTCATTCTACCAGCATCTGTAATCTGTTATTAATCATGTTAAGCCTTTCAGAGATTATTAACATAAATGCAATTTCTGATATTGTAATACGTCGTATTTCCACCGCGAAGAATCGAACTTCGGATTTTAGCGTTGTGTGTAAACTTACAGTGGTTCACCGAGAGACTGTTACGCATAATAGAAAGCAGTGCATTCTTGTCATGAATGGTGGACCTTTGGTTGTGTCACAGACATATTTACAGTTAAAGAAGATTATAGGAGTCATTAAGGCATTTCAATAATTCTAGTGGTCACAGTAATTTAATTTTAGTGTACGTAATTGTAATGATATGATTATATAAATAAGTTAATTCTACAAAATGTTTGTCCGAATTATAAGAGACTAAATAATACATTCAACTCCTTAGTTGGTGATGAATCGTTGCATGGAAAAGAGCAAGACAAAAAGCAGGACTCAAATAAAAATTTGGACGTCTTTGGATATATGGACACCCCTTCTGTATTAAGTGTTACAAATCCTTACGGAGGTGAACCATACGGACCTGAGTCAGATGGAAGTACTGGATCTCTCTCAGGAACTGATATTTATGGTGAGATATGTCAATGCTCTAAAGCAGATTAGGCTTAAACTTGTTCAGTTTAAAGCAGATTAGGCTTCAGTAGATCAGTATTAAACCCGTTCAGTGTTCTATTTATTTGAATTACGTGAAACGTCGTGAAGGAGAAATTGCATGCAATAGGATTTAATTTTGAATAAATCTGACTAAAAGAGTTCAACTAATTTTTAATCTGTTTTAAAAATCCCTCCAACGTTTTAGTTTAAGAGTTTCTTATTGGAGTTTTCACCCCAGTGACCCAACGGTATGTCTATAGGTTTATAACGCAAAAAATCGGTTTTCAATACCCGTACTGTAGTGGGCAGAGTAGAGATGCCTCATTGTGTAGCCTTTCGCTAAACTACAAACAAACTTATTGGTTTTTACCGGTGGGATAGCAGTAAGTTTATGGGCTTATAACGCTAACATTCTGGACTCGATTCTCCGCGGTGGACACAGCAGTTAACCTAACGTGGTCTTACTCTAAAACAAGTAAACGAACAAATATAGGTCAGTCGATTGTACTTACCGAAGGGGGGATCGTTCGATAAGGAAAGGATTGAACTAATTTCAGATCAATTAATTTTGTAATTAATATACCAAACTGTAACTGCAACCAAAGTAGTAAGTAATTCTCCGGTGGGTCATTAGTATATTTACAGACTTTCAATAGTGAAATCCGGGACTCGATTTCCCACCGTGGACAGAGCGCAGATAGCCCAACCTGTAGCTTTGCGCTAAAACAAAACAAAAAAACCAACCAACTTATGCTTGTTGACAACAGAATTCATATTTATACAATATACACCAATTCTAATTGTTACTCATTTATTTTAGACGATTACTCGCAATACAGACCATATGATTATAGTGACGCCATCTATCGTCGAAAAAGGAGCTACATGAGAAAAAGAAATTTGAAAAACAACATGGACGAAATGTTAAATGCTGCTCGACGATTTCCTAGGCGAGCCATGCGGTCAAAACGCCACACAGATGTGGAACAAATACTTAAATGGTTGAATGCTCTGAGCCAAGAAAAACAGTATGAGGTTGGTTTTCTATAACAGTGAAAAATTCACAGAAAAACGATTTCTTTTACTTTTTATTTCCCCTTTAGATGTCATTCATTAAAATTTTAATTCTGTATTTTACTTTTTATTTCTCTTTTAGATGCCCTTCATTATAATTTTAATTCCGTACTTTACTTTTTATTTCTCTTTTAGATGTCGTTCATTAAAATTTTAATTCTGTATTTTTCTTTTTATTTCTCTTTTAGATGTCATTCATTAAATTTTTAATTCTGTATTTTTCTTTTTATTTCTCTTTTAGATGTCATTCATTATAATTTTAATTCTGTATTTTTCTTTTTATTTCTCTTTTAGATGTCATTCATTAAAATTTTAATTCTGCATTTTACTTTTTATTTCTCTTTTAGATGTCATTCATTATAATTTTAATTCTGTATTTTTCTTTCTTTATATACCTTCCAATTTGTTTGTTCTATTTTAAATGTATGGACTTTTAATTTTCATACCCTAGATACTCCGATAAGCGGACGTGTTTAAGCTTTTAAATGTAGTTAGTTGAATCCAATCATAGTAAAAAAAGAGACGTAATATTATATCACGCGAGTACGTGATGCAGGGGCAGAAAGGCGACAAACCATAGCAGATCTATTTTTATTATTCAGTGTTTTTTATTCGTTTTCTTTCTCGAAATCTTATATAGTTAAATAACAATATTTCATTGGAATTCTCCAAAATAAGTATATATTTTAGATCCAATTTTTGAGTCTCGTTGTCAAACTTGTACAGAAATTGCTATTATACTTCGATGTTTCAAAAACTCTAGCACAACGATTACATAAGAATCCCAAACAATAATAGACTACATACTTGCTTGATAATTTCCATGCAAGTAAGTGTTGTTAAGATCTGTTTTTTTGTTGTCGTAAACTTGTCCTTGATGCAGATAACACAGGCTTTGGAAGTTAAGTTTAATAAATGTTATTTTGATTTTACTAACGGATTTTCCAGAAATCAGCTACGAAGAATTCGAAAGTAATATTAATTTTTTTTCTATCACGTAAGGATTTTTTACAAATCGGGAAGAAAAAATTCTTACTTAGATCAAATTATTATTTCTTTTACCACAATGAAATTTATTATTATTATTATGTTTGTTAACAAAAATACAAACAACTAAAGAAAAGGGAAGAACATGTCAAGCGACTATGCATCCTCATTCATCCTGATTAATTTTTTTGTGAAATCTACGTCTTTTAGTCTCAAAACTACATGTTGTGGTCTCCCTTTTATATGGCCCGGGATGGTCAGGTGGTTAAGGCGCTCTACTCGAAATCTGGGGGTCGTGGGTTCGAATCCCCATCACACCAAACATGCTCGCCCTTTCAGCCGTGGGGGCGTTATAATATGACGTTCAATCCCACTATTCGTTAGTAAAAGAATGGTCCGAGAGTTGGCGGTGGGTGGTGATGGCTAGCTGTCTTCCCTCTAGTTTTACAATGTTAAATTAAGGACGGCTAGCGCAGATAGCCCTCGTGTAACTTGGCGCGAAATTCAAAACAACTATACTTTTGACCTATACTAAAAA